CGGACCTCTCCCGGTGTGCCTTTCGACAAGAGTTTCTGGGCAGATCTAGCGGCGGCGACGGGGGCCTCCCCCGAGGCCCAGCAGGGAGGACGGCAGTACAGCAAAGGGACAGCAGTACAGTGAGAGGGCAGCAGTACATTGAGAGGACAGCAGTACAGTGGAAGCCCCGAGGCCCCCGAGGCCCAGCAGGGAGGAAGCAAGGGGAAACCGTGGGAAGGACAGCAGTACAGTGGAGGCCAGTCCACAAGAAAAACATTCCACAAGAAGCCCAACCCTGAGAACCCGGGACGTCCACGGGCTTTTGGTGTGGGAACGCCGCGCCTCCCGCAGCAAAGCCATCGAGACCCAAGGCACCCAGGGCACCCTGGAGGAAAGCAGGGTGCTTTCTTGGCATGGGCCCCCCGGGCCGCCGCGCTCCTGCAGCCGCAGGTGCCAGCCAGGGGTGTACTCCAGGAGGATCGTCTTGACGGTCTCCTGGGAGGGCCCGTGGGCGCTCTGGCGGGTCGGGCGGCTCGGGGCGCCGGCGGGAACAAAGCACACACACTCCGTGTGCAGCATGGGCGTGTGCGAGCACCACGGCAGGGGGCGAGGGAGAAGTAACCCTTAGATGCTGGATAGGGAATCCGGGGTCTGGAAGCCAACGGTACTCCAATCGTGGATCGGCCACGGATATCACCACCGTCCTCAATGGATAGGGGATCATACAGGGTCTGAAGCCTCCTGGGCACCATCCTTGACGATCGCCCCCACCGTAATATATACGAGAGCGTTCCTCCTGCACCGACGCCCCTTCGGCCTCACTCCAGCGCTGTGAGGCGCATGCTGTCGAAACGTGGCGACACTCAATTTGCAGCTTGAGCGTATGTGTTTACGATATACGAGAACGGTACCCATCGGTCGGAAGAAACGGGTAGAAGCATTAAGTCGGAAGGCATTGGAAGTAGATTGGTCTTCCGCCCGCCCCCTGAAGAGGAGGAAAGAGGGAATGCCGCTCGACTCTTGAAGCAGGAGGGCACCTAAAACAAATTGGATCATGGGCACCCACAACCACTTACTTTCGACGAACAGGGTGCACGGCAAGTTCGAGTCGTGACGCCCTGCGAATTGCTGACACCGAGTGGTCCGTTCCACCTGGAACGATCGTAGCTTTCCGCTGGCGCAGACCGTTCGGGCGTTCGCTAATGGGGGGGCGATAGATGGGGGGTAAGAAAGGTGCACCGTTCGTGCACCTTTCGTACCCCTTCGGGGCCCTAGGGGGCTCGTTTAGGGCCCCTTTCGTGCAACCCTCGAGGCCCCCCCCATTTATCGCCCCCCCCATTACCGAACGCCCAAGCCGTTCGATAATGGCCGATGCCGGGCCACTGGCGGCGTTGTCACCCTTGAACGCCCGCGCAATAGGCCGCCACCGCGTCGACGCGACGCGAACCGACCGTGCGCCGCACCCCTCCAGAACCAGGGTCGTCCTCAACCCTCGCGCCCAGCTGCAATTGCTCAGCCATCGGGGCCGAAGGCCTGTGCGCCGTTCCCGTCTTGGGGCCGTCTTGGGGCGGCCTCGGGGGGCCAGCAGGCGACGCTGAGTACCTAAGTGGTGGTGCCGCTCGAGCGGTCCTGACGGCCAGCCTCTGGTCTCACCATGGTCTGGACCCAGGGTGCACCACCCTCGAGCGGGCACGCACACAGTGCACGTGAAACCACCCTGGGACTCAAGGTTGTGCGGACCTGGGATGCACCGCCCCCGTCCCTGAGCGGGCACGCGCACAACCCACATGGAGCGAACCTGGGGCCCATCGCTGCGCGGAACTGGAAGGCACGATCCTCGCGCGGTCTCGCACAAGGGCACACCGTCCTCGAGCGGGCACGCACCTGGGAGGGCCCTGGGGTGCACCTTCTGTGCGGACCTGGGGCGCAGCATCCTCTGGCAAGCACGCACAGAGTGCGGGTCTGGCGATCGGAGCAAGGCCTTGGCGACGGGAAATAGTGATCCCTCCTGGTGATGTCAGTGGTGGCAACTTGTGGAAGCTGTCGCAGCACTGCTTCCCAAATGTGACAGGGTACAGGCGCGGCCGCGGACTCTGGCAGGCAAGGGGGAACCTGGGTCTCAACTTGCACCCTTCGCCCAGTCTCCCACGCCCCCTCCTCCTCCTCCTCATTATCCTCCTCCTCCTCCTCCGTATCCTCCTCCTCCTCCTCCTTCTCCCTTCTCCTTCTCGAGTTCCTTCTCCTCCTCTGCCTCCCCCTCACGGTGTGCTGCCAGACGGCCAGTCCGAGTGTGCTGCTGGTGCATCACATGCCCCTCTCGGGAACTTGCTGCGACGCCGCATGCCTTCCGAGGCCCCCCTGGCCTTGACGACTGGGCGATCACACTTTTTCAGCGCGGAGGCAAGGAAAGTTTGATAAACAGTAGACTGGCTGAAAGGGGCAACGTCAAACATCCCTTTCGACGAAGCGCCACTCAACACCCAAGGCAAGGAACATCCGCCTACCCCTTGGGGTCGCTGGCGCCTGAGATAATTCTTCCCTTCCCCCCCCAAACAAACAGTGTCTAAAAGTTGCCCCGCGAAGCTCGGCGTCTGATAATTGGCTACACGTTCCAAGTTTGCTTTCGGCGACGATGAGAATATCGCACTCAGCGATTGCCCATTTGACAAGAGACCTCACATACATTCACATGTCATCGGCGACAACGAGATCAGGGTATCTCCCATCCCCGAATTGCGATGATACCCTGGACAGGACTTACTGAACCACAACAGGCCAGGGCATCTCCGAGCCCTGAGTTGCGAAGATGTCTCAGGTGAAATGGGTTCGGACCACGTGATGGCAAGGCATATATGAACCCAATGTTGCGAGAATATCTCAAGTGAAACGGGCTGGAATGGGCTGGACCACCACAGGTCAGGGCATCTCCGAGCCCAGAGTTGCGAGGATGTCTCAGTCGAATTGGGCTTGGACTACGTGAGGTCAGGGCATCTATGAACCCAGAGTTGTGAGGATATCACACACACACAACGGGCTGGAGTGGGTTGGAACGCCTCGGGTCAGCGTATCTCCGAGCGCGGACTTTCGGATGTCACAGGCGAAGTGAGCTCGGATCACGCGATTGCGTCGCAGATCTTCTCGATCAACAGGGCGCTGAACTCTGTCGCGCCGACGCCAGAGAACTGGATCTCCTCCAACTGGTGCATGGGAGGGGTCCGCGTAGCACCCCTTCCATGATAATGTCGACTTGGGTGCCGAATCCCACAACATCGAACACGCCGTGACGGCGTTCATATGCCCGAAGATTAGATTGACTCTGGCCGCCCAACACGCATCAACGTGAACTGGAGGGCTTCGGTCTGACACGACGTCCGCTTGGAGTCCTTGTCTTTCGGCATGACAGCGAGCACCTTCACAACGATCGGGCCCCGCAACATTTGCACGAGAGCCAATAATCGAATCGGCAAGTCGAACTGGCGATCCACATGGATCGGATCGGTGGAAATCAGCAGCCAAGTCGGGAGGAGTCGAATCGGAGAAAATCGGTAGGCCAATAGGCCTTCATTGAGAAATCGGAATCCACGTCGGAATCCCAAATCGAATCGAATCGGAATCTGAAGCCATCGAAATCGAATCGGATCTGACTGGAAGAATCGACACGATCCCGGCATCTTCCCCATCGCGCGGGTTTTGCCATCCTGACCGTCGCCACCACATTGGGAGTACGGGGGCGGGATCGCGGCTCGCAGTGCGGCGGCGTCAGTGAACCAATGGGCAAGTGGATCAGGATGTGTTGCCCACTCGTAGCGTTAGGTCGGGCATGTCCCCCTACAGGAAGATGTTGGGCGAACCTTGAAAAAATACGACTGCTGTCTTCAGAAACGTGAGGTGCGTCTCCGCGCTCCTGGTGCAGACCATGGCGAACCCGATATCGATGCCAGGGGATGGTCTCCTTCACACCTCCTTCACGGCCGCTGCCAGAGGCGTACGCATCCGAGCGGAGGGCTGCAGCACCAGGGTGTCACAGAGCTGCACAGCCAGGGCTTCGGAGTAGGCGGCGGCCTCCAGCTCGTGAGAGGCCGCCCCGTGCGCGCCTGCGAACAGCTGGCACCGTCGAGCGAGCGGGCACGCCGGCAGCACGCTCGAGCGAGCGGGCACCGTCCTGTCGGGTGGCCGGGTACGAAGGCGGTGTGAAGAAGTCCAGAGACGTGCGTGCTGACACTCAAGGCGATGCTTCGGCTAAAATGGCTACTTATGAGGAGGATGAGGCGCACAACGGCGAGAAGGGCATGGGGGAGTCTAGCCAGTGAAGTCATGTTGCCAGTGACTTGCGCGATCATTTTGACGCATCGGGCGCGCGCGGCTTGGGGCAAATGCCCTGGTTGCTTCCCTGTTCGCTATTCGTAATCATTTTTCTCCTCTTGTTCTTCCTGGGAATTCCATCCTCCTCGCCCGCGCGCACGCGCAGACACATGCACGCGCGCGCGTGCGCGCGCGCACGCCCACACACGAGGCACTGCTGCATGATGCGAGGATAGGAGGAGGAGCAGGAGGACAACGAGGAGGTAAAAGAGACGGAGGGAGCAGGATGTGGAGGGGGCCGGGGCGAACAAGCAAAAGGGCAGATCCTTGCAGAAAACTGCCCGCGAGGGACGGATGTCTTTAGCTGTCTGTCTGTCTGTTTGTCCATCTGTCTGTCTGTCTCTCACTCTCTCTTTCTCTCATTCCCCCATTTTTTATCGACGACGCCTACGGCGAATCACCGCCGCTCCCTGCCTTTTGGAATCGCCAATATGGTCGAGCGTTGTGGCGAGGCGAGAGCTCTGCGAGGCTATCGGGCCATGTGTTGCCCCAGCCCTTGTAGAAACCCTTCGGGGAACACTTGGGGGACGATCGCGGGGAAGATCAGGAGGAGGGGCAGGGGATGAGAAAAAGGAGGAGGAGGATGAGGAGGAGGAGGGGGCATCTTGAGAGCCTCTGGGGGCACTTTTGGGGTCTCCTTAAGCCTTCCTGGGGGCCTTTTGGAGGATCATCCTTGCGCCTCTTGGGGGCCTTTGGGGGCTTCTCGGGAGCCCCTTGGCCGTCTTAGGGCATTCCTGCCTGGCCCGTCTGATGCCGTCTTGGGGGCCTCGCTGGGCCGATTTGAAGCCCTCTTGGGGTGCTCCAGGGCCAACTTGGAGGCCATCTTGGGCGTCTTCGAGGCCTCTTGGGCCGTCTTGGGGTCCTCTTGGGGCCGTCTTCGGTGTTTCTTGTGCCGTTTTGGAAGGCCTCGTAGGCGATCTCGGGGCGCTCTTTGGGGGCTCTTGGGCCGTCTCGGGCCGCCGGAAGATCGAACAGAAACACATGCCCAAACCCTTCGGAACCCATAGGGAATGATCTTCTATTTTGCCAGTGGCGGAGGCTGCTTGAGGTTTAGAACAGTACGCAGGCACGCGTGACAGCTTGGCACAAACTGCGATACCAAAATGCTGTCGGCACCGAACAAAGAGAGGCCT